ATACATACTGATGTATGTGGTCCCCTGAGTGTTAGGACACGAAATCAACACATGTATTTCATCACCTTCACATGATTTTTCACGATATGGTTACATGTACCTAATGAGACATAAGTCTGAATCCTTTGAAAAGTTCAAAAAGTTCAGACAAGAGGTCAAGAAACAGTTAAGGAGAGAAATCAAAGCCCTTCGATCAGATCGAGGTGGCGAGTATCTCTCTGACGACTTCAGAGACTACTTAAAGGACAATGGGATAATATCACAGTTAGCTCCTCTTGCTACACCTCAACTTAACGGTGTTTCAGAGAGGAGGAATAGAACCTTATTGGATATGGTCCAATCGCTTCTCATACACTCAGAGTTACCCACATCTTTTTGGGGTTACGGATTAGAGACTGCGATTTACGTGCTAAATCAGGTTCCATCCAAATCGGTTCCGAACACTCCATATGAACTTTGGATCGGAAAGAAACAAAGTGTCAGACACTTGAAGATTTCGGGTTGTCCAGCACATGTTAAAAGAACAAGTGCAGACAAGTTGGAATCAAAGACCAGTCGTTGCCTATTTGTAGGCTACCCAAAAGGCTCTGTAGATTACCTATCCTATGACCCAAGTGAGCAGAAAGGGTTCTGTAGCCGAAATGCTCAATTCCTGGACACCGATTACATCTTGGACACCCATCGTCAGGAAGTTGTTCTTGATGAGGAGAGCTTAGGAGAAGTGGAAGATGTCCCACAAGTTCCAGGTAGTGACCAACCTAAAAGATCCACTCGGGTATCTAGGCCACTAGTTCGTTATGGTTATGACCAGGATAGTTACCTGGTGRAAACCTTGACTAGTGAGGAGGATATCGTGACTTACGCGGAGGCTATCTTGGACATAGATTCCTAGAAGTGGGTGGAGGCTGTGAGAGCAGAGATGGACTCAATGGAGACCAATGGAGTCTGAACTCTAGTAGATCCGCCTTCTAGGGTAAAAGCAATCGGTTGCAAATGGATTTACAAGAGAAAGAAGGGCCCCGATGGTTGGGTTGAGACCTTCAAAGCTCGTTTGGTGACGAAAGGGTACACTCAGAAAGAGGGCATTGTTTATGAGGAAACATTTTCGCCTGTGGCCATGCTTAAATCCATTAGGATCCTGCTAGCTATAGCAGCATACCATGATTATGAGATTTGGCATATGGATGTCAAAACTGCATTCCTGAATGGAGATCTTACTGAAGATGTCTATATGCAGTAGCCGCAAGGCTTCATTGTTGCAGGTCAGGAAAACATGGTTTGTAAACTTAATAGATCCATTTATGGACTTATGCAAGCTTCTAGAAGTTGGAACATCCATTTTGATTTTGTTATTAAATCGTTTGACTTCAAGCAGAATCCGGATGAACCCTATCTCTATAGGAAGTACAGTGGAGATAAGGTTACTTTCTTAGTTCTGTATGTAGATGACATTCTACTCATTGGGAATGATGTAGGAATGTTAACTATGGTGAAAGTTTGGCTTTCACAACAATTCTCCATGAAAGATCTTGGAGAAGCCTCCTATATACTAGGTCTTCGACTCTATAGAGATAGATCGAAGCGGATAATAGGATTATCCCAATCTGCTTACATTGACAAAATAGTCAAAAGATACAGCATGGAGAACTCCATGAAAGGAAATGTTCCTTTTAGGTACGGAGTCACTCTCTCTAAGAAGATGTCTCCCAAGACTTCTGAGGAGATTGTTGGCATGAAAGACTTTCCCTATGCCTCTGTCGTAGGAAGCATCATGTATGCCAGGCTGTGCACTCGTCCTGACATTGCTCAGGCAGTGAGTGTGGTAAGCAGATTCCAGGCCAACCCAGGGYAGRAGCACTGGACTGCTGTGAAAAACATACTTAAGTACCTTTGAAGTACAAAAGAGTTTTGTCTGGTATTCGATGGTAGCTCACTACAGATCCAAGGGTATATAGATGTCGATTTTTAGTCGGATCCAGATGATAGAAAGTCTTCATCTGGATATGTTTACACGATAGGATCGTGTGTTGTTTTCTGAATGTCAGCAAACTAGGGTCCTAAAGTAGCAAATTAAAAGTCCACCACCAAAGCCGAACACATTGCCGAAAGTGAGGCTGCCTTATGAATGAARGTGTTCATTCCTGAATTTGGAATTCAGCACATCACCCATCCCACTGTTGTGTGACAATAAGAGGTTGATGTTGAGAGGTAGCAGCAGTGGAGAATGTGATAGACCCATTGACTAAGCCACTAACACAGAAAGTGTTTGAGAAACACGTGGAAAGCATGGGCACCGGCTTGTACCTGATTGGACCTAAGTGCAGGTGGGAGCTGTTGGACAGCTTTGTATGCCCTTAGCTTCAATCAGAATGATGTACTTTATGAGTTTATTGTAAATGAATAAAAGTGCATATTAGATTCATGTTCCCTTGGTATGTTTCTATGCAATACCCTTAAACTGGACACTTAATGAGACTCGTGTTAGCTTAGATTGTTCCAGCCTGTGGGTCGGTCTGGAGAGACCTATCCTGATAAGGCTAACACTGTTGTGCCACCAAGTCAGTTGGGGTGGCCTGTCTCAGCTGCCAGGGTGAGACCCTAGGCACTTATAGTGTAGGATTAATTGAATCTTTGAATTGGACCAGATTTTCAGTATTGCCCTGGACCTTGGAGATTAATGGGCAAAACTGGAAAGATACACCCAACCCCTAGACTTGATTATGATACTGCACTAGGTGTCGGATTGAGCTATCTTTGATGTACCAATCAGTGAGATCCTTAGCGGGGGTCAAAACCTGGGTATGTTGGACAGTCTGAGAATTCATCTGAGTGGGTGATCATAGTGACAGGATCAGCCCCTTTGTCGAACAAAGGTAATGATCGGGGATGCACTCTC